GTATACATAACACACACAGGATGATCTAGACCACCTGCAAGAGCCGGCATATACATATGTGTACTAGTTTATGAAAACTGAATCAAAAAGTCCTCTACCATTTTGCAGTGATCGCAACAGTTAACATTAAAGATATTAAGGTGATGCTTTACCCGCTTGTATTATCGATAAGTCTAGCATTTTTGACATTTTTGTTCCTGTCTAATTTCTTCATAATAGTTTCGCAGAATAAAAATTCCTTTTCCACGATTTAAATATTTATACTATTGTATCTGCTCCTAGTCTATATTGTGTTCAAAGCTGGAAAAGATATGAAATTATAGATTTCTTTATCTATTTTAATCTTCAGCGTTGGTCGCCATACTGAGGTTAAATGGATAAAGAAATCTATGATTTTATACTTTTTCCAGCTTTGAACACAAAACATACCAGGGGCAGGTACATTAGCCTGAATATTTAAATCGTGGAGAAAAAATTTTTATTCTGTGAAACTATTACGAAGAAATTAGACAAGAACGAAAATGTCAAAAATGCTAGTTTTAACGGTAATACAGGCGGCTTCAGCATCCCCTTAATTTCTAAAAATTATTGAATGAATGGGTAAAATCAATGTATAAGGTAACATTAAGATATCTTTGAAAGAGTTCTTTATGAAATATCTCTTAAGATATTTCTCTTAAAGAACTCTCTTCAAGATATCCTAAAGTTGTCTTATGCATTGATTTTAGACATCCTGCTTATTGGATAATTAAAAAAATTACGAAAATTGATAGAGAATTTTCGATTCACACGCAATTTCTCATAAACCGACGTACCAACTCTTGCAGGTATGTCGTCTGGATCATCCTGTATAAAGAAAAATTTGTTTCTTTTCTTTAATGTTTACACTAGGTACTTCCAGGAATTCAGTTAATAATTGGCCTGTGTCATAGCACAGGCAACGACAAAAAACCTACGGCTCCGCCACCACACAAAACAGACCATGATCACGTATTAGAGCACTCTCTGCATCAACTATTACGCGAAGTACATTACAATAATAGTAATCATCCGTTTCCTCATCCTGCCTCGGGACCTCTCGGGCCTAGTAAACGCAGATACATAGCCGGCCCTACTGCTGCCGACAGATATGAACTTTTAGAAATGACAAAGAGTCAGACACTTTTAGAACAAATTATCCAACAAGCACAACATTTTTTCATGCGTTTGCGTACAGAATACGTATTAGATACGATAGCGAAGGAAGTGAAAGATCCGCTTATCGTTTCACATTGGAATGCGTTGAATTCGCCGACGCAGTCCTGTGTAAAAATAAATATCCTAACACACGGGTACGATAGCGTATGTCGGACATCAATGGTCGTTCACGTCGGTGAAAAGTCATTGAAATGTGTGTGTCGTGACGGTAGAGTCATGCACATGAGTTACGAGCCTCAGGAACTGAGGGATCTAATTTTTTGTCAGGTCAGTTGTAAAATGTTAATTGTCGTATAATTAAAAAATATCAAATTCCAGATATAAAAATAATAATATAAGATTGATAAAGGACTCTTATTATAAATATAAACGAAAAAAGTTAAAAGGACGTTGTAAGAGTCAAAAGAAATAATTTAAAACAACAATTAAAAAAAGAAAAACGCATATATGTAATACATTAAAAATTAACAATATAAAAATATTTGTTTAAAATTCGAAAATGTACATTAAAAAATAACAATATTCAAAAACCTGCTAAAACCTGCTAACGTTTCGACTAAAGATATAAAATGTTCTTTTATTATATTGGTAAAATAATGTCACAATATTTTTTTTTGTATACAGATATATCAGCATCAAATAAGTGCGGTACAAGCTCTAGCCAAATGTATGGGCTGGCAGTTCTTGGCAAACAGCTCACACCTCGGCCTAGGTTCAGTGGAGCCTCTGGGAAATGCCAGTAGTTGTATCTTAGCTTCGCCAATTGGTGATAGGTATTTTATTGTTCAAATTATGACAGAGAAGAAAAAATGTGCATCTGTCTGTTATTTACACCTTATTTAATATGTTTGTAGAATGATAGCTGTACGATGTGAACCGCAAACAGGTGTGCAAGTTGCCATTGCTCATTCTCCCCGAAAGGATTTCTTCCCTGGTCAACTTGTTCGAGAAAGGAAATGGGAGAATTTAGGAGGTTCTTTTAAAGAAGTTAGATGGGACAAGATGGAAGGAAAGAATTTTCTCAACAAAATGGAGCTGCTTATGGCTTCTTTAACGAGTTCTTAAGTGTTACAAAATACTTGTCAAATCGTATATTTTATTTTTTTTTTTATGGGACTGAAAAGATTCTCTATATTTTTCTATATCTTAAATCTTTGCTGAACAGCTTAGAACAAAATTGTTATTGCACGCACAATCAAGAATTTAGAGTAACTAAAGAAAAAAAGAAATTTTTTGTTCCAAGTTGATTATATACAAAACGCATTTTTATTTTGTGTATGTATGATTGAATAACAAATGGTGTGAAATAATGGGAAAGAGAAAATAAGGTTACGTTGAAAAAATACAGGAAATCTTCTCTGTCCCGTTGAGAAAAATATACATATATAAAAATTTAACTGTATCGGCAACCAGGATTTATGAAATTATTTGAAATGGATTTCGATCGAAATTATTCAATTCTTTAAATTTCTCTTGTGTCTTCTTACAGAAACGAAATAATTTCAATCGGGATCCATTCCGACTTGTTCCATGATAGATATCCAGAATACAATTTCATAAAAAGAACCGATTTTATTTCTTAAAATAGTTTCAATTACTCAGAAAAGTACAAGTCAATTTATTGAATACATTGGATTTTATTTGAAAATAAGGAATTTTGTACAAATTTAATCATTTTTTATCTCCTGTTTTAATTAGAAATTTTTACTTCTATTAAAATTCATGATTGTGATTTAACATATGTTATTTGGAATTATACCAGGTGTACAAGTATGAGAAATGCAGATTTTTTTTTTCCAAAAAGAACCACTTTTGAAACGCCGAAACCATCGTTCACACGTATCTTGCGATGGAGCATGTTCACCATAAGCTTCTCGAAGTAATCGGTATGATTCAGCAGCAGTTTTCTTCAAATGAAAACAAAAAATTAATGCTGTCCCGCGAATGCTCTTTATTTGGCACAAATTTCGACATATTGAACACGGCAGAACAATACTATGCAAACACTTTTTCAATTTTATCACTTATGCGCGTTTGACACTTTTGTTGATGGCACAACAAAATGGCATATATGTCAAATAAAATCTTTATACTACACGCTGCATACGTGCATCATCTGTGTTGTCTCAAATCCGCACTTCATACTTGTACTGGTGTATAGTCCATTATTGAAAATATATTGGTGAAATAATAAATAATTCAAACATGTGGAATATATAAATTTAAAACATTTTTAGCACATTTAAAAAATTTTGTAAGAAAAGAATTACAAATAATTCATTCTTTACAGTGAACTGGAATTATTATTATACGTATTATATATTGTACGAAACGGTGATATATATATAGTTTTACGTCTAAACAACAATAACAGTAATTTATACAACTAGTATTTTATACAAAAATGGTTTTCATTTCAATGTCATACGAAATACAATTTGGATAATAAACGATTGCGAGATGTATAAGTGAAAATTAAATTATTGAATGTCAAGAGATGCATATGCGTCACAATAATTATCTTAAGTATAATCGTCGATAGTTTCCCTTTTCTTTTTGAATACAAAAACGTAATAAACAATTTCTTAAACTTGATCGTTGTTTGTTAAACCTATTCAAAGAATCCACATTTAAGGCGCACATTGATGCACAAATATACATATATCTCATTTGATGTAATAATTATACATTATAAACGCATACTTATATACATACACACATACAAACGCACTGGATACGTTCACTTAAAATTTTTTTCCTTTTTTAATATTTTTTTTCTCCATAGTCATTAAATTACGATGGTGAAGAATGTCAAAAAGTTACATTTTTCTCTCGCATTATATGATAAAATTAATTAATGTTCACTTAATACTTTGCGTTTGGTAATACGGACTGATAAAATCTTATATATCGAAAAAAACTATTTCTTTTGTTATCCTGCATTAGAGTAAATGCATATACAATTTAATGTATGGGTCCTCCGGTTCCTATAACAGAACTAGACTTAATGATAGATAACTGAAGTTATTTTTATTATAAACTGAAAAAATAGTCTTTCTTAATCTCACTTTATACATTTATATTATCATACATGCATAATAACATAAAAAAATTTATGTATTCTTGTTTCTGACATCACAATTCAACACAGCTGCAATGAAAAATGAAGAACTTCAAGATATAAAGGGATAATATATACTTCAATGTCATATAAATAAAAACTATAGTTTGTTAAAAAATTATTTTGTTTCTGTATCATATAACCATTTCGATGAATGAAGGGACAGATTAGCAGCTTTATTTAAATATCTAATGCTAGAATCTTTTATAAGGAAAATAATTGGGATTTTTATGTCTAGAGATGTTTTGAAAAATATTAATTTTAAGATATGCAATCATAAGATTTGTCCCTCGATAAATTTGGCTAACATATAGATATTGTACATTGTTGGAGTACATTTTGCTTTACAAAATTAATAATGTTCCATACTTAGTATCCTATTTAATAATCTGAATGAAAAAAAGTATCCTGCACATTAAATGTTTCTACATACTGTAACATAATATAATAGAGCCACAATTGTTGTGTGTGTTTTCTTCCTACAAGTCATAACATAAGCTTTTTAAAATTTACAGCTTATGAAGTTGTAAAAAATTGATTAATTGTAGTCGATTATTCTTTTCACATTAGATTGTGACTGGTTCAATTTCTTATAACTCAAAACTAGAAGCTTAATAAGCGACAATTTATTGTAGAAAATACATTAGAGATTAACATTTAAAGGGAAAGGATGTTTGTTGTAATGATATTCACATCAAATCAGAGATGGATTTCCTAACTACAAATGTTTCATTAAGTAACCTTTATAAGCTTTCAGTTCCTTTGAAAACAGGGAAATAAAGATTGCGTTCGTCCACCAACGATCCTGTATGCAAGTGTAGTCGTTATTATCAGTACTATATAAGCAGATAATAAACTAGCTGCATACACCTGATAACGATTGAGTAATGTCATACATGAGACAGCCAAATGTGATCCAACCACCCAGATAATCTGTCCCCAATTCTTTTTGTCCAGGGCAGAGAAGAAGATGACACCCCAGAATGTATGCAGGAGAATGAAACACAGAGTGGTAGCAGCCGATATTATAAAGAAGTATTCGGAACCTTGACGGAGTCCCATTGTACCAGGTCCTATTGCATCAGCCAGGACATTGACTAAAGCAAAGGCACCGCTCATGAAGCCAAAACCTAAACCACAAACGTAAGCAAATACGTGTCTGCTATCAGCTACTTGTGTCGTCGTGACTTTTTCCAGGCCTCTTTCGGCTTTACGTAGCACCCAATATAACAGATACCTTTAAAGAGAGAACAAACTTCTTTATATACACGAAACATTAGATATGTAATCAAATGAGATTGCAGTAGACAAATTACCTAAAACCTTCCTGGAATAGTACAGAAAAGACCAGGCCAAACGCGAGATATTCTTGTAATGGAACCACAGCGTACCAAAGCACTGACGATAGTAGCAGGGATATGAGCCAGAAAAAAGCGCTAACGATCAATATGATTATTCTGATGGGCTCGGCGGCGATGGTGAACATAAACATGGCTAGTGGCGGGCCGAAAGCCAAACAGGCGCAACCAAAAAAATCCATAACGGTCATTTTCTGTTTTTTTTTTTAATAACTGCAACGTGGAGTCGCGAGTGTAGAATATTCGCTCGTTGAAATATTTCCCTCCTTTTCTTCTTCAGCGTTTTGTCAGCGCTAGCAAATGCTAAACTGGCTAATTAGCTTACAATTCCAAGCCTCTTTACGGACCAGACCGACCAGACCCTCCTGTCGAGCGCATTTACCTTCCTGGTACTTAAGTAGTGCGCAATTCGGACAAATAATCGTCGTGTCGGTCTCTTTTATGAATCGATACGAAAATCATGTACATTAAAATCAATCACCAACTGTCGAGTAACTTGTGTGAATTGTGTCGTGTGACATGATAACTTGTAAATAATTCTGCTTATTCTTGCTCTTCTTGCTATTTCGCGAAAGGTTATCGACAACATCAGCCGTCGATAACAGTGTTGCCAACTCGGTCATTGAAAAAATCTCAAAATCAACTTTCAAAAATCTTTAGAAACTCTAGTTTTTCACCAACAAACTAAAAAAATCTCCAGTTTTTAAATTTTATTAAGAAATTGCCGCGAAAAAAAATTATAGCAGAAAATTTAAGCTGCTTTTTGATACTTACTACAAGTACTAAAAATCTGAAATTTTTTCAATACACTGACAGTGAATTAGGTAGTAAATAAAAATAAATTTAAAAAAAATTAAATTTTATAATTTATTACAATTTTATTGTTAAATATTATAATTTAATATTGCTTAATATTATTTTTTAATTCTTTTTTACATAATATGTAAAAGAGATATTATAATATTATTATAAAATATATACGAACATTATAATATTATAAAAAATTTACATTACAATAGTTTTTAGATAGTATCTTTGGCAAAATAATTTTAACGTCTTTAATAAATTATAAAAAAATAAAAGTAGAAAATAGGCCAGTTAATAGCCTAGTTTACATCGTGCACTTGATACGCGTACTAACTAGTTACTTTCTACTAAATTATCTTAATTTCAGCGATATATGTAAATGTATACACAATAAACGTATTTAGTTAAACATTTTGATGCGTATTGTATCAATTTTATACATCATTCTTTAAATACATTGCTTAAATTAAGATAATTTAATAGAAAATAACTAGTTAGTACGCGTATCAAGTGCACGATGTAAACCAGGCTAATAATATGCATTAAATATAAAACACTATGTTAATGCAAATGTTTTTTATACACATAAGGTTACGTATTTTATAATCTTAATAATTAATACTTCATGTATACATATTATTATAACTTCTTCTTATTTGGTTAATGACACCCGCCTCCAAAACTGTATAATAAGAGGACGATATGGCTAGAGTCCTAGATATCAGAGAAGTGCAACCAATGTTCCGCGTCCTGATTAGCTGACTGTCAGCCAATCATGACATTCATTCAGTGGTATTAAAAATGGCTGACTAATAGACGATTGGTGGATTTCATATTTCGTCTGCAAACGACGCCATTTTTATTACTTTTCTTAGTAATTTTGCGATACTGACTTAAGTCGGTTGCGCTTCTCTGATATCTAGGACTCTAGATACGGCCAGATCACGTCTCAATAGTCTTGAAAAAACTGAATTAGGTAGAGAGCAAAACTTGTAGTAAATAGGAACAAACATTTGCGCCGCGCTGGAGCGAGCTAGTGACCCTCTAATAAGAGTCTGGCCACCTTCTCCCCGGTTTGTGATTGGTCCGACATTTATCATCCATTCCCGCAAATTTCTTTAAATTTATAAACTGTAAAAATTAATAAATTCGTAAAAATTAAAGTAGAATCAATTACAATTTTTATTTTTATTATTATTTAACTTATATTAACATTATTAAATATTTTCTATAAAAACTTTTATGTAAAAAAAACGTTGCAATATGTCTTTCATAAAATAAAAACAACAATTAAGTAAGTATTATAAATAGATTGAAAATATAAAAATTAATATATTAAGAATATATAAAATTTATAAAAATATTACAAGATTAAGAAACTTTAATAAAAATTAAATTTAAATACAAATAATACAATTAATGCTTTAAAATTCTTAACAAAAAATACTTAGGTAGCACCAATAGGGAATAAATAAAGTAGTATATTTATG